GATATATGATGAAAAAAATTAAATTTTGCATTCATGAAAGATATGACAGATTTCAAGCAAACTTTTATCATTATCATTATAATCAAAGTAAAAATAATCACACAATTTCTGTTCTATTCTCTCATTCTCTAATATCTTGAAAATCTCACACATACTTCAACAAAATCGGCTTTTCCCTAAAATTGTTCACAGAACAATAACAATAAAAATTAAAAATATATATAAAAAAAAAAAAAAATTAAAATTTCAATCCTTACAATTTCTCAAATATTAAATTTCAAAGATTTCAAATAAATTTCTTTTTCACTAATATCCATATATTATAATAATATAAAATATAAAATAATTACACAATTTCTGATTCCAATATTCTGGACACCCTATATATGCATATATATACCTCAACAAAATCTACTCAGGTATTCCCAAAACGTTGCACGGAACAAACGGTTCAGTGGCCACCAATTATTAATTTATTCTCGTTTTTAATCTCCTTCCCATCCAAGTGGTCCGATGGAGCAACGTTTCAGAGTTTCCACTCAAGGCCTTTTCCAACGAGATCGTGCCAGCCTCTGGTTTAATGACATTTGAAAGGATCCAGGAAAAAGGTCAAGATGCATCGATGCGGCCACATTGTGGAGGATTCGTGCCGACTTCGCAAGATGAGCACGAAATCTGTCTTGTCTCTCTCTCTTCCTCCCTTTACCCTTTGGACAAACCAACTCTCCCTCTCTGTCTTTGTCCATCTCTAACCAACGTTAAAGACCGTTCTTCCATCTCTGTCTTCGAGTCAGTAAAACCGGTGCAAAAGGTAGCCACGAAGCGAGAGAGCAAGAAGTGAAACTTCTCGCGGGGAATGGCGATTTGTCTGGGCGAAAACAATAGAAGGTCAGTGGATTTCAGAGGCAACACGTGAGGTAGGGGGCACCACAGTGTCTGCATGGGGGCATGTTTATGCAACTAGATGCAACGCGGCTGGATAGATTTTCCTTAAAGCAATTCACGTTCCAGCTACCGTGGATCGAAAATTTATTGATCGAAGTCGAGCGATAAATAAAAGGGTTCGCGTGATCTGTAAGAAAGTTGAGAATACTGCTTTAAGATTATTGGAACTTTAAAGATTGTTAGTTCTTCGTAGAAATAAAATTGAATAATCTGGAAATTTTGGAAAATAGATTTTTTTTTTAATTGATTGCACGTTTTCATTATTGATCGAAAATAATTTTCCATTGAAATAAAATTGGAAAATTTGAATTTGGAATAGATTTTAATTTGAAAATCATAATAGAAATGTTATAATTTTGTATTAATTCTCTTTTAACATTCTATAATACTGAATGAAAATTTGTAAATCTGATAAGATTTATGCGATAATAATCTAAAATGAAATATACGAAGAATTTATTTGAACATACTGTACACTGTTAGCAATGATACATAAATAAAACTTGCACATTAATTTACTCACTAGTGAAAAATATCGAAAAAACAAGTTACGAAGATTTTTTTATAGAAACAAGTCTTATACATATATTCCGTTAATGTTTCAGCTGGTAGTTGAGGATTGCTCAATCGATCGAGCGCAAATCGATCGGTGTTTCATTTAATAAAAAGAGGCTAATAGGATTGCAAAATCGCGTGCAACTAAATATACGACTACATATCTTAGCTAATAGATTTTTTAATATTGATTAAATTAATTTTTGATGAGATTTTAATCTTTTTTTGAATATAGATTTATGTAAAACATTTGCATAATTACAAATCATTGTTTTTCTTACATATTTATAATAAATATGTGAAAAAAAACGAAACAAAATTTATTATTTCTAATCAATAAATAATAGCATATAAATTTATATTTAAATTTAATATATATTGTTATTTTTTAAATAATTTTTAATAAAAAAATAGCCCAAAATAATTGATAAAATTAATTATAAATAGATATAATAGAAAGATGCGTAATTATATGTATAAGAACAGAAAGAGCATTATGCTACATATTCATATATTGCAGTAAGCTAGAATCCAAGACGTTCAATATTCGAATAATAATTCGAATATTGTACGATATTCGATATAATGCAATCCATGCATTTAATACAATAGATTATTATAGCTAGGATATTCCAACCAACTACGCGTAAAATTTGAGCTAAATCGATGACCCAAATATTACAAGTTCCCCAGTTTCGCATGAAACAACTTGTCACAAAAATCGAACTCTCATTCGAGAAAATGGCGAATCATTTCTCTTTAACATTTACAATAAATATGCATAAGTAGTTCTAAATTTTTTTCGAATTTTTTAAAGATAAAATACTAAAAATATTTAAAATAAAAAATCTAAAACAATATTTTGTTTATTAATCCAAAAATTTGTGACAGATCTTTTTGAGAGAGATACAACTTAACCTAACAATCTTGCGTCACTGGATACGATCGAAAAGAACCTTATAACTCGTAGTAAGACGATCCCAGGCTATCGTCTACCTGAGGATGTCCCGCAGGATTTATTACCGTAGCTAAGAGTCGACATCTCTTTTCTTAACATACACCTGGAGATATAATAGCCACCTTGTCTATTAGGAATCAAGAAAAGAGATTTGACGGTCGGTTTACGAATATGTTGGGACATAGTTAAGCGAAGAGCTTTGTTGAGGGAGGTTAGGAAACAACGATGATGTGATACTCACATGAACGATTCGACTCGAGACAGCTTCTTACATGAGGACCGTCTGAAATGCTGATAGCCATAAAGGATCCCTTTTAAAATGAGAATATATTTTGGGATATTTTTTCCGATGAAAATATATAAATATGTGCAAACGAATATTTCTTGCTGCTATGACATGAAACATTCAAAACAATATGTGAGAATTTTTATATTTGGTATAATTTCATTTTAACATAGAAAATGTCTTTTGAACTATTATCGACTCTATTGTTCTTAAAATTTTAACATATTAAAATTCCTTGCACATTGAAGCGATAATAAATAATAAACTTTTCACTTTTACATTTCTGATGCAAAGATTATTTTCGGTGTTAAGTATAACTTCACTATTGATCTCTAATTAAATTCAAGATATGAAGAGACAAAATAAAACAAATTGGGAGAAACGTCACAAAGTTACAATTCACTGTTTTACACAATGTCATGTTGGAAATCGATATATTAGATCCCGAAATGAGTCATAAAACGAAGTCGCGGTTTTACGGGAGGCAACATCGAAACGAGACGAGCTGCACTTTGGGGCAGGTTTACAAATACGTGGATCAATTCCAGGTTTATCGTTCGGCAGCGGCGATTGGTCGACTCCCGACGGTTCGGTTCTACATATAAAACGTAGTTACATAGGACAAACGTGCGCACACGTGTGTGTAGAATCGTATATAAACGTATATCATATATACATAATGAATATGGATTCTATAAGCCGTGTGTGTATACCGCCATAATAATTCAGTCTCGAACGTCGCTCTCTCCGCAGTGACCGCAACCTGCAAAGCTGACGAAACACGAGCAAATCAACTGTCGCAGCTATTTTCTGCCTAGTTACGTAAATTAATATTAGAAACGATACTGAAATTATTGTTTCATCGAGACGGATGCGTGTACACCGCGATCCTGAGCCTATCAACGTGACAACCGTGTTTCGACGGATATCGTGGATTTTAGGTTATGGGAAGGTAATGATTTGTTGGATATTTGATAATGATCGTTTGGGACAGGATTAAGTGATATTGAAATGATGTTTCATTTAATTGGTTACATAATCGATTACAATAAGATCATTTTTACATTTGGTATTTGTTATAATTGGTTTAGATACTTTTATTTAAAGGTATGTATATTGTTTTAAATATATATTTTCATTTCAAATAAAAATACTCTATTTTAGGCAATTTAAATATATTAATTAAATTAATTTTTTGTTTATTTAATATTCAAACGTTTTGTTTATTTTGAATGTTGTGTATATGATCAAAATCATAAAATCAAAAATTGTTGATTATATGTAAAAAAAGAATGTTTGATTAATAGTATACTTGAGTTTGCAAATTTAAATCGATATTTCAATCTTACATTTTTCATGTGTTAAATGATAAAAGATTCGAAGCGATATGTTATTTGTTAAACGATTCAACCAGTCATGTTATTTTAAATTGTCAACTAAGTCTTTCTCCCTAAAACATAACATCCGAAATGGCTACCACCTACAATTCTGTCAGTTTGATAAATGCGGCTGTCCTTGCTTATTATAGAACCCAAAATTCGAAATAAGAAACGGAATAGAAGTATAATGGAATCAAACTTAGCTGAAGAATTATACAAAAACAAAATTTTATAAATTGTTATTTATTTTTATCATGATAAATCCATTTTAATTAATTGATAGATTTCTTTTCAAAATTTCAATATTAGTGTAATTATTAATTTAACAAAAAATATTGATAAATTTCTTACGAAATAATATGACGAATTCACTAATCAGATAATTTTTATTTTAAAGAATATTTCATCATTGACTATGAGTGACAATTTTAACTTATATGATAGATTTAGTGTGTTACACATAAAACAGTTTAGATAATGTTACGTCAATATTAAAAGTATAACGAACTATATTTATCGTAGATAATATTACTTTTAATACCGATATATCTGCGGTATTAGCGAATCAATCATCGAACACGTCATTAATCTTCTTTGAGAATTAAAAACAGTATATTTTATGACGCCAATTGAATACTTTGATAAATATATTCTCTCTTCGGCGAATTATTTTATAATCGATATATTTAAAATAAGTAACATTTCATAAAAAATATATAGTTTAAATGTGACGAACAAATTTAAAATTAAAACAAATTAAAATTAAAATTATAAAATAAGATTATCTATTACTTAAAAAAAGTTTTTTTGAATCAAAATTCAATATTTTCACTATTCTAAATTTTCAATTGTAAAAAAAATTTAAAAAAAAACTTAATTCAAAAAGTTTAATATTTGATATTTAAATTTTCAAACAAAAATACAATCTTAGAGAAAACAAATGAAATTAAATAAAAAATAAAACTTCTCTCGAGTCAATAATCTAATTTCTTCTAAAGAAATTCTATTCCATAATAGATCTTCTCCCTTTACACTTTCAGCATGTCGTCAATAAAAAATCATTTTCCCCACATAGACTGTATCACATAGTAATCACTTTGGGCCAATGTGTGATTGCGATTATAACCTCTAGATTAGAAATTCGCCGCGAACAAGAATTTCACGACCGTTGTACACCACACATGTGTATTACACGCACCGCCGACGATACTAGCTGTGGCAACGATGGAAAACGGTGATCGCAACAGCGGCACGCAAAGTGAGCCGACAAAGGCGTCTTATCGCGGTTAATTTATATTTCAAAAGGTTACTGGTACCATCGAAAGAACGTAGAAACTCTCTCGGCGTTATTCCACAAGAAATTCTATCTGTCGAAAGATTTATCAATGCATCCAAGATGATTTTGAGAATTTTTCTTATTATTAATTTTTTTCATGATAGTGTATACAAGATGGCGGACACCATCTGTAAGCGCGGGAAATTTGATTTTTATAGAAGCGTTCAATATGAAAATTTTTGAACAGGTATTTGTTATTTTATATTAATTTAATCATTAATTTCATGATTAATAAAATAATTTTAAAAATTTATTTATAATTTGTGAATGTGAAATCTTCAGAGAAATTTTTCGTTAAATCCTTTTAATAATTAAATATCGTTCTCTTTAACTGAATGATCATTCAATATCTAATTAATAAGAAAACTAACAATTATATCTTCCAGATCCAATCTTGATATTCAATTCCATCGAACACAAAATATCGTGGTGAAACATGTGCAACGTATTAACGTTCTTAGGTTAATCGATCTCGGTGGAAGATCGAGGCAATTAACGCCAGTATCGCCAATCGATGATGAACATTCGTCATCCGAAGACCGGTTTCTATCGGGTGATTCACCATCATGGATTCTATAAAATCCCACCAACAATGTTCCTGTCATGGATTTTCTTTTACTTTTATCACGTATACGATATCTTTTTCCTTTTTTTATTATTCTTATAAATCCTTATCGAATAGCATAGCTTCCAGGAAGAAGTGGAAAATGTTTAAAACGGTTCTCCGGATTCTTCGTCGCGGTTCGTAATAATTATTCGAAGTCGGACGGCATCTCAGTGGTAATAACCAGGCCCGTAATAGCCATTTGAAATTGAAATAAGATGTAACGATTCGTGATAATTTTATTTGGCATTTCTGTTGAAACGGTATTATGTGGAAAGAGATATCGATTTCAGATCGAATTTTATTATTATTAAATTGCAAATGAAAATTAAAATTTGATGTAATATATAAATAATATTATATAATATTGAACATTTAATATTATTATAATATTTGGAATTTTATATATATTATAAATTTTGAATTTATTTTTATCATGTAATATATCAGATCATTTTAGGTTATGTTTATATTAGATTAAATTCAACTTATGTTAAATTGAAATAAGATGTATAACGAATCATGTGAATAATTTTATTTATGTCTTGATTGGGAATGAGATTATTTAAAAAGAGATATAGATTTTAAATCAATTTTATTATTATTAAGTTGTAAATGAAAATTAAAATCGAGATGATATTTGGAATGTTATATTACAAATTTTGAGGTTAGGTTTATCATGCGATGTCATCAATTTAGATTTAAGTTACGTTATTACAATTTAATCAAGTTAAAGTTATTATTAGATCATGTTAAATTATTACTTATTCATTAGATTGTTATTATTTTATTAAATATCTTATATTTAGCTTTTTTTAAGTCTCGAAGGATGACCGAATGCTCATTAATAGTATCCTAGCGATCCACGCACCGCCATTTTCTCAATCAACAATCGAGATCAACCTCGAAGCCTTCCCTAACCTCAAACATCGATCAATTCTCGTCAACGTTCCCGCAAAAGGGAACGCAACGCATGGCACGACTTTTACAAAGTAGGGATAAGTTCACCACACGCGGATACACTCTCCACCACGACACTATTCAATTTCTCATTCAGGATATCATGCATCATCTTTTGAGCTTAAAAATTATCTCTTCGATCTTCCAGGATTTCCGTGGCATGGCGTCTTGCACAATCTTCTCGAATCGTCATAAATCATGTCGACGGATTGCGTGGGCGGCTATGGAACACGCTCTAACCCCCTTCCAAGTGATGCATAGTAACATTTTACAGGATTTTTACGCACCGTCACAATTCATCCGTTAATGACACCGACACTGGTAAAAGTATTATAATTATAATTATAATTATTATTACTATTATTATCATCTTTTTATTTTTCCTTGTTTCGAACGAACATTAATCAAGCGTGAAAATATATGTATAACCGTTATGGTTTTTTACGATTTAATTTATGCGTTGACAAGTAAATTATTCTTTGTAGAAATTGCATTTAAGATATACTTTGTAATTTATCTTTGTAATTTTTTTGTTATTTTTTTTTTTTTTTTTTTTTAATTCGAGTCGTTAAAGTCCTTT